AAAAACGAATGCGGTTGTATCTGCTTTCCGCTATCGTACCTATCAAATCTAAGCTAACGCGAGTTTCACATGCACGAGTTGCGTTTGATCGCAATATTCCTCCGTTATTCCTAAAGCAGAGCTGGACAAAATAAAATCAACTTAATGAGATGCTACAACCTCGTATTCTTTTTTTTTTTTAAACTATCCAATGATAAATTTACGTTTTTCAAAAAAAGGCTTTTATATCAACTATGTAATTATTAAAACAAGAAAAAATTTATACCTTTATACATAAAATGCGTGATAAAGTATTTATGCGCTATCAGTTGATGAAAAATATTCAACGAGAAAGAATACTCCTTTCTCAAATATCTTGAGAAATCCCGCTATACGTGTTTCTTCTAATAAAACTCCACAATTATAATAAAAAGCATAAAAAAGCGTAGCGCGCGCGCGCGCACACACACACAGGTGATCATGTAATCTAACGAGGTTTGATTAAAAATCACAGTTAGCATGCTCGCCACGTTTCCTCGAACAAGCCCTGCACGAATGGCATTCGTAAGATAGCTACATAGTTTGCTTTAGATGCACGAATACTCTCGAGTTACAGTTCCAACGCTTCAATTAAAAAGTAAATAAGTTTGGATTACGGTATATGCGCGACAGTGAAAGCAGTTTCAAGGGATGTAGTGCATCTTATAATACACATCTTATTTTTCAGAAACATTTCTCTCGATGAAATCATTATATGTGTAATTCGAGAAATATATCAACATCCTACCAATTATATTATATTTTATGCGATATTATATATTATATCAATAATAGAAACAAAAAATATATTTTATTATATTATAAAAAGAAAGATAAAATAAAGAAAGATTTTACGTTTCTGAATTAAAATTGATTATTATCGTATATATATATTGTTTCGATTTCTTATATACTCCGTCCTCATCGAAAGCAAATTTACTCGCTGAAGATGTCTTATTCAAGCGAGCAAAAAATTTAGCTTTTGTGATAAAGACGATTGTGTCTCGTTCAACGTCTCTGCAAGAAACGATATTACAATGCGCTACGAAAAGAAGATATTGCCCCAAGACATAATTTCAAACCGGAAGAAATTTTCTCGGAAACTTTCGCATTGAAGCGAAAACGGGTCATCTTCGTCGAACGCGAGAGGTGTAATTGGCCCGAGAGTAATAATTTACGCTGCAGAGACGCTGCATCGGCATCTTATTGGAACCGCATTAACGACGTTAAGCAAACTTGGCTAGCGCATCGAATTTTACGAAAAACGTTATCGTATTACAAGTTTCTCTGATAATCCCGTGCGACAAATCGCGATATATCTTCATTTTATTCTCCACATTTCATCCATTCTTATTTCATTATAAAGTTGTGTTAAAGTGATAATATGCGAAAAAATTTAAGTTAGACTTTATCACATTTAATTTATTCATTTTTTTCAAGCTTTTATATTTAGGCTCTCTCATGCAAATCATTCATTTAAAACTTTTAAGTAAAAAATTTAAAAATATCGTCAATTACTAAAATCACTATTTCGACTTTGAAAAAAGATTAATTATTTTTATGTTTTTAATGTAAAAATTAATATTAAATATAAGTTTCTAATCTAAAAGCAAGATTGATATCATTGTTTTCAGATTATTTTTCCCGAATTTATGAAGCGCGATATCTTGTTTCACGCTCTTTGCCCACCATGATCAATGAAGCAAAATTAAGAAGATTTACCGTACATTTTGCGTTATTCGCACATCTATAGCAACGCGCCAGATGGATCATATTTTTCACGCTTACTTACACGAAAGATTTCACCGAGTTATCATTCTCGTTATTGCTTTCGCCATGAAATAAACGTTCTCCAAAGTAGAAAAAGCATACTCATCAAATTATATGCTTGAAAAAGCTTCGAGGCAATCACAAGCGAGGATATAAGAAAGAGAACCTGATTTTGGTTCTTTTAGACTTTGCAGAGCAAACTTTAATTCGGACCAAAGCAAGAGAGCTTAAACATTTCGTAAGGAGCATAGTGAATCGAGAAGTTTTAGGTTCATGCTTAAGCTCTCCTGATACACGCTTTTCATTCTCTTTTGATGTATATTACATGATGAATATTTTCCACATGACTGGCGTTTCAATCATATAAAATTTTTGAAGAATGCAAAAAATAATTATAAAAATAATTTATTTGTTAAATAACAAAAAGTAAATCATGTAAAACAGATATAAAATTAAATAATAGATTTAATTCCTTGCGAAATTCTAACTCTCTCGGTCGGAAATATTATGCTTATTCTGTACCGGTTCAATCATTAATTCAGCCGCATATCATGCATACTCTATTATAATTCATATATTTCAATCATTAAATAAAACGTATATGTATTTATATATATCTCTATCTACGTTCTTCATTATAGGTATTACATGAATATATGAGTAATTTAAATAAATGTATAATTCAGTTAAATTGAAACATGAGATCCAATATGAGCGAATAAAACCGCAAAGGATTGAAATTTCCATTTGGATTAACAAAATCATTTATGTTGACCGCAAAATATTATTTATGATATTTTCTAGCGACTTGCAGTATAATGTAAAATAACAAATTCGATTAGACAGTGATCTTTGAGGTTCCCGAAAAACTCTTTTGTATCTACTATTTCTTGCAATATTGATTTCTTTTGCAAGGCAAATAAAATGGGGTCTTTTGAAAATATCAAAACTATTGTAGATCTTTATATAATAGGATTATATATATCAAAGATATAAGAAATATAATTTAAATAATATCATAAAAATTTAATAAAATTTAATAATATCACAAGTTTTCAAACTCAAATGCATTTCGATAAATTATTAAAATTTTAAATTTCTATGTATGTTCGCATTATTGTAATCTTACAAATATTTTCTCCATATATCTTTCGCCAGATATCAGACACGTGGATAATTGCATTACGTGCTGCTTGCACATGTGAAGGGGTAAAAAGCCATTATTCGTGACAAGCACTCGGTTAGCGTAAAGTAAAGTGTACGCCATATGTACATAGTAAACATTTTGTACCGAGAATTAATGTATTCGTCGTATGCACATACGTGTGTATGTTTATGTGTGCGTATGTGTATATCTGGTTAAACACTATGTTTAAATGTTGAAATGAAACGAGAGTGAGAGAGGCTCTCACTCACAAATTCATCATCGCCCGATTAAAGTCCCATCCATTACGATATCGCGAATCGTTCCGTCAGAAATTTACTGCGCCGTATTGAAAACGCATTTCCGATGCATGTGACGTGCGTGTTGCACGTGAAAATCGAATAATAACAACACGCTGCTATTAGTTGAAAGCGATTTAAGTTGCTGTAATTTGTCGCAAAGAGAGGTACAATATTTTGAGTCAATAATTCCACGATATTATACTATAAAATGAATATGATTTAGCGCAATTAGAGAGAGAGCAAAAATATTAATCTTACACTTTTTGACAACAGTGTAATTCATCGAGAACACGAGATTTCACATTTCGTTAATATCGTTATATCGATAAAAACCATTATGTCATTGGAAATACTTGTTGGGATTTATCTACGATGTAGCACTTTATGCAGTTTCGATGTATAATAATAAATGTGAGAATATTATTGTGTTATAGAATATCACATGCAAGGTTTTATCTTTTATAACTGTAACAATTTTTTTACGTTTTCGGTATTTAAAAAAGCATATATTCATTGAATTAATTGTAAGTGGAAACACACAATATCATCAACATTTAGAGCACTCTCACCACGAGCAAAGCAAAGTATCGAACAAAATTTTCAAAGGATTCCAGCTTGTACAAGGTATAAATAATCGCAGAATATATACGCCATAACGATATAATTTTTGTCGTTACGATTTATTTCAACCATAACGGAATTTTAAAGATCTTCAAAGAATAATAAATCGTAACGAATTCTTCTCCAACTTCGTGCGAATTATCTCGATGCAAATTTGCAACGATATGACTTGTATTAAGAAGAAAAAGATCTCTTATATAGATATGAAATATCTCTAATATAATATACTTCTGTCAACTGAAACTAGGGTCGGTACTCTTTTCTAAGTAAAGATAAAGGAAAATAGTAAAAGACCATTTTATATGGTTTGGCGTTATTCAATTTTCCTTGTAATTCTATTTCCTTTGCAGCGATATATCTGCAGCACACATTTCTCTTTGTCATCTTTCTCGAAATTCACAAAGAAAAATCTGACACCTCCTTTCAATTTCAACAATCTTCCTACATACACTAATATGTTCAAATTATGGAAACATCCTTCATTAAATACTTACAATTAAATAGATGTGGTTAATTGAACAAGGAACGAGGATGAGAAATATAAAATAGTCACCCTGAGCAAAGACACGAGAAAAATTTCCATGGTCTTAATTACATACTGAATATAATAGTTAATATTTATTATAATTAAATTTTCCATGTAACGTTCGTTATGTATTTTTTATTTATGCAATTAAATCAGTTTCAATAAGGTTCCATGAAAAAGGATACAAATGTTATTAAATAAAATTATATTTACTGTATAAATTCTCATTTTATACAAGATTACATGGAAACATTTAATTTCAAGTATATTCAATAGACACGATTTAACAATAAAGTCACATTTAATAAGTTTACAAAGTTGAATCGTTGATTGATATATCAAACACCGAAATTGGCATTCAAAGCAATAAGAGAGAAGATAACTGTTAATTTTTGAATTACAGTTTTCGAAATACGTGATAATATATAAAACGCGTGACATGGAAATTTTTCTCATTTCATTAAAAATTATAATAGGAGACCGAAAAGATGATTTGCGCGAGATCATCTCTCACGCGATCTGTTCATCCAATCGCGCGATAAAATATTAAGAGTGAAACAGATCGCAGTATAATCAGACACGAGTGATCGCATGCAAGAAGACGTCGAGAATCACTAACCTCGATCCTCCGTGACCATTGGACCGCCTACCGCTGCTCTCATCGTCCTCGTCGTCCTCGTCGTCCCTTGAAGTAGCCAGCGACTGGGGAACCGAAGAGGGAGCACTGCTGCCGGAATCGGGCCCGGGGCCCATCCTCGAACCGGAGGCACCGCTGCAAGACGGCGCCAGACCACCCTCTCCCTGCCCTTCCTCCTTCTCCGCCCGGTCCACCTATAATTTTATAACAAACCAAAATTAATTTAATAAAAATATTAATATAAATATATATCAATACTTAATACATTTTTCATTTAAAATAATAATTAAAATAATTTCATATTAATATCCTTCGCTTGAATCGATATCTTATTTTGCTACGTGGAGAACTTATCTTGTACCCGAGAGCTATATCACATCATTGTTCGAAAGGGCATTCGATCGGAATGCTCTCGTTTTTTATCCCGTGATCGGTCATGCGTGTGCGGAAAGCTTCCACAACGATCGACACGTCACAAGTGAACCGGCAAAATTAGATCATATCTAACCAGGACGAAACCTGCATATTGTGATCGGATGTTAGCGTTTCCGGCTGTTTTCGTCTCATAGCTATCAAAGGCCGATTCCGAACAGGAATCATTGATAACTGGCTAATCGAAATCGGAAATTGTAAAAGTTATATGATAGATTGCTTCATCGGGGGAAAGTGGTAAACAAGATAACGGATTTGTAACGTAATCTACTTTAACGCACTGTAATTACGTTTTTAATCAGTTTTGGCAAAACGTGTTATGTGATAAGAAAAAGGGGGAAAAAGTAAAATCGATACGATTATATAAAGTATGATTGCACAATAAGTATGTTAAACTTATGTTAGTAGTAAACATATCCTTAGACTAATTTAGAGTCATTTATCAATCTTTTCTTATTGTTGATAAAAGTTACAGACATTTAAGGATATTATTATTCTTAAATTTTTCATAATTAATTTTTTAATATTCAATATTTTACAACAAAAATTTTAAATTAAAATTCTATCAAAGTATAACATCCATTTAAGATTAAATGAAAAGAACATTGCAATTTATTCCCTTATACAAATTTAATTTATGAGAAGCTTTTCAATTTCTATAGTTCTAATTCCAAAGCTACTATATTTTCATTAAAGAAAGATTTTTAATTTTGCCAGATAGTCTGTTGTGACAATTAATGCTGTGAGTTGGATAGTCTGCATATTCTGGTCTGTAGTTTCACCAGCACCTACATGTGCGAGAGAAAATGCGTAATTGCATGACAAAGGACGAAAGTTGTTTGTAGTCAAAGCTAAAGATAACGCGGTCATGAATTCTTTGCCAGAGATAATAAACTTTAATTAATGATAAGTTACATTATGCATTCTTTAATAAATAATATTTTTTTTTATTAATCAGTAGATTTCTCATAAACTAATTTCTTTCAATCACAATACTCGTAATTATCCTACATTAACATCAATATTTATTAATTTATTTTTTAATGGATCCCAATAAAAGAACTGTTTCCGTAGATAAGTCGCTTTCTCCACTACTGATATATGTAATCGAACCTACGTATAAAGCTCTAGAAATAGATTTAGTCTCTCGATACCACTGCGGTCGGTTAGAACCTGCGTTTCGTTTTAGGATCTGGCTTTGGATGCTTCTGTTCCAATTCAAAGCCTTAGCGGCTTAATTCTATCTGATCGAGATGAAAAATATAGCGTATTTTTCCGAGAAAATATCTTATTTGTCACAATTTGATAAAAAATTTATTACGATTATGATAGACTAAGATATTTATTTTGATAGAAACTATCGAACTATTGTTTCGACGCTTTAATTCGTCTATATTTTATACAGATTATATTTGTCTTCAAAAAACAAGTTGGTGCAACTTGCGTGAAAATGCCTGGTCAAATAACAATTTTTTTCCTCACTCGTTCTAGCGTGCGAAAGAGATTTTATTTCTTATAAATAGGTCGAGTGCGTTTAAACACATACAATTCGTTTGTACATTGAAAAAGTTACGCGTGCACGTAGAAATGTTTAATGTGTGGAAAGAAAAGCGATACGCGGATGAATTCCCCCGGTATTCATACGACACCCGTGGACATGAATCAGACAAACAAGTAGATATATATAGAATATGCATAATATATAAAAGACACGTAGATATGTGAGAAATATGAGTGTACATATACAAATATATGAATCTACGTGGCACTGCAGTTGTCAGTGATGCTGCAGCCATTTCAATCTACATATTCGTCTGAGTTTTGCCCGAGCGTACATAGAAAAAAAAAATAGAGAAAGAAAGAAATAGAAAATGCATGTCCGTATTTCATTTGATTTTAAATTCAAATATATTGGGGGGAGAAAGAAAAATCTCTCGCGAACGTATTAATAAAATTGCTAAACGGCTTGTTCGTCTTCTGTTCATTTCTTTCGACATTTATCTGAATATGGAAAAACAGCGAACATCGAATAATGTTCGTTTGAATAACAAATAAACGTTAAATGGAATTCGAAGAGATATCGCGGTTTTCACCGATAACGAAATATCGAACGCTGTCGGTGGTATTTACATTATCATTCCACGAATGTTTCCGAAGCCGAAGTTATGTTGCACGAAATGATCTCGCTACGCGATAATAAAGATTGGTCCAGCGATTCCACGACAATCGCTAGAGAATCGCGCGTAAAATATGTAACATACGATACAGCATGTACATACAGTATAGTAGACAGAATATTGTATAGCATAATATAATTATATAACTTTCACGAACAATATTTAGCCTTACAATTCAAACTTGCGATATTACACTCACCTTGAAAACACTCGGCAATATCGAGGAAGAGAGAGAGAGAGAGAGAAAAAGAAGAACATATTCCTGCAGTATGTATATGTGCATATATTACATATACCTACACGAGAGAAGTGATACAATAGTTAGTCGACCAATATGGATAGTACGCTCCGAATTAGACACGTTGCCATTGTTCGCCGCTCTTGTTTCAAGCAGGAGCTTAACGGTGTCCAGATAATAATAATAGCTTTGTGCTAAAACACAGCTCTCTCGGATGTAATATTTGCTCTCTCGGATGTAATATTTGCTCTCTCTTTCTTTCTCGTGTCATCCACATTATTATAGTTTTAAGCCGCTATACTGCTAAATCCTGTAACGTCATATTCACGCCATAAACTGCATCATTATATTTTTTCTAAGTCCATAGTTTGCCATGTTTGGCACGTTCTCGATATATACGCAGAGTCCTGCGATTTTAATTTTATAATGACATTCTATGACCTGATATTCTCGCTAAAGAAGAAGATTGATTTAAAATACTTTTCCAACTTTTAATATGTATATCAGATTTCATTCTTTTGCAGATATCCCTTCGATCTTTGCGGTATTTTACCGTTTCTATCGTATAAAGTGTGTTATTTTATTCAATTATATACACTATAATGCAATAATCGTGTTAAGCACGTACTTTTATCGGTAATCTGGCGCCGTACTCGCAATTATCCCTAAATGGAACGCGAAATGTGTTTCGCAATTTTGCGTTCGCGAATGACACAGTATCTCATTCGTTCGTTCATCAAAACGGTATAATATGTTGTTGTGCCAGTTTGAATCACATATGCGCATTTATATAACTGAATTTCTAGAGAAACGTAGGCGGCATCGACTATCAGCTGTGACGGAGGGGCCTTTCCTCGCTTGCATGCAAAAAGAATTAAATAAATAAATAAAATACGCGAAAAAAAAACTCCACAGCTATTGTTCGGCATTCTCGATGCGCTCCTTTTTTCTGGCACTATATAGCGAAAGCTCTGTGGCGAAGGAGCAATTTGCAGCAGTCTCGCCGTAAATTGGACGAGCCCGGGAATGTCGGTAATGTCGAAGGGTCAATCGGTTTATTCGACTGTGAACCGCTTGTTCAAACCAGTTTTATCAGGAAGCTTTTTGTTCCCACAAAAAAAGAAATTTAAAAAAAGAACAAACTTTCCCTCTCAAGAATCGCGTCTTTCACACAACCGATCTCAATTTCTTCACTATTATATAAAAATCAATCACAGGTAATTTGAAAATTCCGCAATATTCAATTCAAATTTAACCTTTTTGTGCAAGGAAAATGCATAAATGCATGAAAATTACTGGACAGTATAATAAAAATGATTTACGAAAGCTTATGCGCAATGATAATGGTAAAAACGGAATAAATAACGTAATGGTAACAAATAACATGATAACGAGAGAAAAAAATTATATATTTTTCATTAAATAAACTTTTA